AACTTAAAACTTGTGTACCATTAAAATATGGATTATTAGCTAAGATTTTATGCTATTCTAATTGGTATAACATAAACAAAAAATAGTTTAATACAATTTTAAATGTAAGACACTAAAACTTTCTGTCATGCGCAGTAAAGTGTACCCAGGCTGACAGGGTTAAGCAGATCGTGCAGGAGAATGTGTTTCCTGATGCTTGGCACCAGGGTATTATCCTACCTTTCTCTAAGTCTGGGAAGGATTCCAAGATTCCTTCTAACTATCATTCAATTGCTTTGACTAGCTGTCTCTATAAAGAAAGGATGGTTAATGTTTGTCTTATTTGGTTCCTTGAATCAAACAACCTCATCTTGCCCATCCAATTTGGGTTCCGTCAACAGTGCTCCACCGTGGAACACCTGATTCGACTTGAGATCTCAATCAGGGAAGCCTTTCTCAAGAAGGAACACCTTGTTTCTGTTTTCTTCGATCTTGAGAAGACTTACGACACTATGTGGAGCTCTGAAATTTAGGGGGACCTCCACTCATATGGGTTGGGTGGCCATCTACCCATTTTTATTCAAACTTTTTACTCGACAGGTGATTCCAAGTCCGTGTGGGTTCAACACTTTCCCGTTCTTTCACACAGGAACTTGGATTCCCTTGGGGCTGTGTCTTGAGTGTCACACTTTTCAGTATCAAGATTAATGCTATTACTACACCACTTTTTTTCTATTGTTGCAAACAGATGTTATATCGACAACTTCCACATCTGATGTTGGTCGTCGAACCTGAGGTTTATTGAATGGCAGCTTCAGACTGCCCTCAGTTGCTTGTTGAATTGGATGACAGCAAATGGTTTTTACCTTTTCTTTCTCCAAAACTTTTTCATGCATTTTTGCCACCAACGGGGTTTACACCCCGATCCCGAGCTCTACCTCGGTGATGTTGTTCTTCCCGTGGTCCCTGAGGCAAACTTCTTGGGGCTTATCTTTGAATGTAAGATAAGCCAATTCCACCATGGCTTATTACCATCCCCAGATGTGACCTTTCCTTGAGTCATCTGAGGAAGGTAGATATTCTCGATTGGAAGTACCATCATCTCTTTGTCCTTCTATATTTGTCTTTCTATCCTTCTATTCCCGTTTATATGGATGGTGCGAAATCAGGTGACTCTGTGGGCTCTGCCATGGTTTGTTGTGGCTGTTTCTATGTTCATTGCCAAGTTGTATGCCATTTCTCTTGCCCTGGATCATGTAGAAGCTATGCAGTACACTGATTGTACTATTTACACTGTCTTTCTTAGTTCTCTGCTGGCCGTGGAATCGCTTAACGTTAGTTCTCACCCTGTTCTTGTCGACATTCAACAACAACTGGCTTATTTTTCTTCATTTTCCATTACTGTCCAGTTTTTCTGGATACCTGGCCACGTCAGTATTCCCAGGAACGAGCTTGCTGACATCGCAGCTAAGTCTGTCTGTCCTGGTGCTGTCACAGCTGTGTCTATCCCATATATGAACTATGGTCCTGTATTCAAGGCACAGCCCCATGCCAGTTGGCAGTCAACTTGGGGTGAGCAATGTCATAGTAAGCTTAACCAGATCAAAACCTTCTGTTGCTTTTTGGCTGTCTTTTTTCTATAAGGATTGGAAGGA